CACTCCTTTTTATTTTTTAGATTATGCAACATCTCGTGGTTAAGCCAAGGTGGTCTTTTGCCACATTTTCTCTCTTTCCTAACCAACGGAATAGCTTGCTTTTGGGCCCTTAATAGTGTCCCTTTGAAAAACTGCCAACTCTCCTCAGTTGTTTTTCCCCTCAGTCTTGATTCACATGGGACCTTACCTATCAGCTCTCTGAGCTTACCAAAATCCGCCTTCCTGAAATCCATTGTCTCTATTTTGCTGTTCTCCCTTCTACCCTTCCTTAGAATTTCAAACTCTATGATTTCATGATCACTTTCACCCAATCTTCCTTCTACTTTCAAATTCTCAACGAGTTCCTCCCTATTTGTTAAAATCAAGTCTAGAACAGCTCCCCCCCCCCAGTAGCTTTTTCAACCTTCCGAAATAAAAAATTGTCTGCAATGCAGTCCAAGAATTTGTTGGATAGTCTGTGCCCCGCTGTGTTATTTTCCCAACATATATCTGGATATCTGCTCCACACCATTTGGATTCTGGAGAAAAAAAATTTCTATCACAGAATTAAGTGGATACAGAAATATCCAAGGTCATATCCTTAGGTATTAACTGGTGTAGCTCCATTGACTACAATTAAACTACATTGATTTATACCAGCTAAGGATCTGGCCCATAAACATTTAAACAAGTGTAATTTTTGGAAAATATCATGAGTCTCCACAAAGAGTTATGTGATGTGATGTTATATTATTTAAAATCTTGTGCTAAAACCAATGGGTTTTTTTATAGTTATGGCAATCTTCCTGCATCTAAAATGTGCCAGAATCTGTTACCAAAACTTACCATGATGCCATGTACTGTATGTAAGAAATCAGAGACCATGACTGCCATGCTCATTACTGTTTCATTGCTTGATGATTGGGAGATCTTTTTTCCATCAGTGTCTTATTTTTATATTGTCAGCAACAAGTCAAGGTCTTTGATGTTTTGTTACATTCTTCAGCATCACTAGAAAACTACTTGTTTTCTTCATTTTCAGTGGTTTATAACTTATCTATAGCAGATCTTTTGGATTTAACCCCTAGTCACATATACAATATTAAATATGGCCATTAAAGAGACCATGGATGTTTCTGAACCAGTATGGGTTTTAGCCCTGATGTCCCAGACAAATTCTAATTTGGGTAATTAAATCCTGCCTACATAAATTCCCAATGCAATTTTAATTGGATACAGGATTTTCCATTTCTAATGCTAAATAATTATGCAGTATTGATGTATCCTGTTAAACAGCTAGTATGTTCTTTTCCAGAGGTTGCTGAATTTCACTGGTAAGTGAAACCACTTCTGTATATATAAAGACACAAATCTTGAGAAATGCTGGATGTTCTTAGGATCAGGCACAAAGTTTGCCAAATGTTTTTGGCATTGAGATGAATGGCACTGTAGAACTGTAAAATATCATTGTTATTTCTAATCAAGTTATTCCAAATCTTCAAAGCTGTAGCGACAGTAATGAATCACAAAAAAACAAAATAGATCTTTATATAGTAAAACTTATTAGGTGACTACAGGGGTTGGACTGAGTGATTTGGGAGAGAGAGTTTCCAGATTTGACTACCATGATTATATGAAATAGGCAAACATGGTTGTCCAGATATTGGTATGGAACTATTATGTCATCCGAACCAAAAAAAAAAAAAACCCAGTTGGATGTATTGACTTGGGGAAAAAAACAACCAACATGATAAGGGATTTATACTATTTTTGGAAGCAATACACTTACTTATTTTAAAAGATATAAAACATTGTTTCTTTTGTCCCCTTTGGCTGATGGAAGAATGGGCAGACCTGTTATCAAACAAAATGTATTGCATTATTTGTGGTATCCTGCAGAGATTTTTTTTCATGATTTTCTGTGGGACCACAGAGGCAACTTGCAGGGAAAATCACTACAGTTTTGATACGTTTGCCATATTTTTCAGCCGAGGGTGTAGTCCTAGCTGAATGACTTTGTACATAATGGTCACTCACCCATCATCCTATTTAACAGATTCACTCAACAACATTTAAATGCTGAAGGCATTTAACCAGCCATAGTGAAATCTGTTGTGGATATGTAGCTTTTCATGGGCACCCTTAGTGGTCGTGCTAGCCCCAGGTCCTGTGATGGATTCTGTACTCTGACAGTTTTGATGGAAAATGTTTTACAGGGAAAGATGTTTGGCATAGAGTGGCTGCAGTATTAAATGAAGCTCCTTGAGTCACCCCTTGCTTGTGTGACGTATCATATTGCATTAACCTGCCTCCACAAAGGAAAATAAATCAATACATATGCAAATTTGACAAAGTTTTAAAAACTATGTTTAGTTTTTACTGTTACCATGACAAAAGATGTCTCCAGCTGCGAGAGGCCTATTTACTAGAAATTGACCTTGTTCATGTCTGTGGGGTAAATGGATCAGTTGGCTTGCCAGAAGATCAGCAGAAGTAAAACTAGTGTTAATCATTTACTAATGATCATCTTCTATTTTGAGAGCAGTCAGATTTTCTTTTCTCATAAAAAATTATGCTAAATTAATAGGCTAACATACCAGATTTCAGTCAAGTGGGTTTTTCAAGTTTCTGGATTCCACAATCCTGGAATTTAGAACTATACAAACTGAAGGAGCAGCAATAAAATAACATGAAAAGGTTGCATAGCGGACCCGATCAAGATGATTCTTCAGGGATCA